GTGGGTACGACAGCAGGAACCCTGTGGTACATCAACTGGGCCGACAGCACCAGTATACGGCTGATCAGTGGCCATAAGAGCAAGGTACAACACTTAACCGCTTAAGCTTTTATCAACAGCTGTGAAATTCATCCATAGCGAACTCTGAAATGGTTCTAAAAGCAACACTACTTCTGTCCAAAATGCTCAAGTTTGTGTTCTCATTGTAGGTGAACGGTGTGCTTTGCAGTCCAGATGAGCAGCATTTTGCCACCTGTGGGCAGGACGGCAGTGTGAGAGTTTGGGCGCTGCAGAGCCACGAGCTGCTGGTCCAGTTTCAGGTGCTGAACCAGGTGAGCATAAACACACAGATGAACAGAAGTGGAAGCTCTAGCCACAGGGGCTTTTTTTATTATTAAATGTATTAAATTACATTTATTTGTTATTATAATTTTGGACATTTTATTCACATTTTTTATCCAGAATAGTTTTAATGCGATAGAGCCATCAAACATTTTAATGCAAACTTTTTTTCAAAGAAATTAATTATTTTATTCAGCAAGTATTCATTAAACTGATCAAAAGTGACAGTAAAGTCATTTATAATGTTACAAAAGATTTCCATTTCAAATCAGTGCTGTTCTTTTGAACTTTCTGTTCATTAAATAAATGTATCATGGTTTCCAAAAAAAATAAAAATAAAATAAAATAATAACTGTTTTCAGCATTGATAATAATAAGACATGTTTCTTGAGCAGCAAATCAGCATATTAGAATGATTTCTGAAGATCATGTGACACTGAAGACTGGAGTAATGATGCTGAAAATTCAGCTTTGATCACAGAAATAAATTACATTTTACAATATATTCACATAGAAAACAGTTATTTGAAATTCTAATAATATTTCACTATATTATTGTTTTTACTGTATTTTATATCAAATAAATGCAGCCTTGGCGAGCGTAAGACGTTCAAAAAAATTTTTTTTTTTACATTTTACTGACCTCTAGCTTTTAAATGGTAGTGTAACTTGGCTAATGGAATCATTGCTAATCTTTCTCTGGTCGCCAGTCAAACTCAGAGTATCAAATTCATTTTCCATTGCAGTTAATTGATTAATTGTGTGTCTGTATGTTTCTCTGTATGGCAGAGCTGTGAGTGTGTGTGTTGGTCTCCTCCGAGGGGTGTGTATGAGCCCAGCGGGCACGTGTGTGTTGCGGGCGGTTACAGTGACGGGACTGTGAGGATCTTCAGTCTGAAGTCGGCCGAGATGGAGCTGAAACTACAACCTCAGCCTGTGTCTGTGTGTGCGCTGCAGTACTCACACTATGGTGAGTGTGTGTGTGTGAGTGCTTTGTGTCTATGTGAGCGTTTGTGTTCACTATATGCATGTGTGTGTGTATGTGTAGGTCATGTGCTGTTGTCTGGTGGTCGTGATGGTCTCATTACTGTCAGCAGTCCCGTCACTGGAGTCACTGTACGCACCATCCGTGACCACAAGGGGGCGCCCATAACTACAGTGCAGTGCACCAGCAAACAGGTTTGTGCTTGTGTGTTTGTTTTTGTGGTTTTCTGTTTTGCAAGGCAAATGACTCGACATTGTGTATGATGTGGAATTGTGGGCCATATCTAGCAAATATTTGGACACTGAAGTCCACATGAATTTGATTCAAAGACAGATCTTAAATATGAAGAAGAAAAGTGAAATTTAGAGAAGGAAAATAATTCTGTAGTGTTTGAGATACAAGGATACAGATATGCAATGACATTGTCATATTTTAAAGTGTGACATAAGTGTCCAAATACTTACAGGGTCATTGTAATGCAATTGAAATAAAAACGAGATCACAATATAGCTTAGCGCTGTTATCGTAAAGGCTGTGATTGAATTAAATATATGTGCTGTGTGTTTCAGAGTGAAGCTTTTACATGCAAGCTGCTCACAATGGTTTAGCATTTGAACATGAAGAGTTTAGCACAGCCGTAAATATTAGTATTGTGCAGATGTACTGTAAAATAAAAAATTCTCTCAAATACTCCATTGTTTTATTTTACAGTGAAATATTACAATAGTAAAATGTCTTATTTTGTTTAATATTTTTATTAAGTAATAGTAATAATGATTATAATGAATAATAAATTGTTGTTATTGTTATTATTAATAATTATAGTTATATTGATATACAATTTTTTTAAATACTCATTTTTGTATTTTACAGTGAAATATTATAATAGTAACATTTCTTATTTTATTTTATACTTTTATTATTTTTATTATTCCATCATGTATTATTGTTATTAATTATAGTGATTTTAATATATGATCACTTTTTTTGTTGGCCAAAAATGTTGTTTAATATTTTTTTATTTAGTAATAATGATATGTAAAATAAATCATATTAATAATATATTTTTTTTATTATTATTGTTAATAATAATAATAATTCATATAGTTATATTGATATATAATAATTTTTGACCAGATTGTGCAGCCCTACAAACAAACCCAGCAAACCTGGAGCATATTTTTATTGCATTTTAAATTTTAATCCGAAAACTCGCAATTCGATCTCCCCCAAAACGTGTAGCACTACTGCCGAGTGAGTTAATGTGTGTGCTGATATAAATGTCTTTTAGTATAAGGAGTTTGGACTGGAGGGAAATGAGCTCTGGTTGGCTGTAAGCGCAGACAGGCGTGTCAGCATCTGGGCTGCTGATTGGATGAAGGATAAATGCGAGCTGCTTGATTGGCTGACATTTCCAGCGCCCAGCCCACCAGAGGTGATTAATATTCATGAGTATTAGGCCAATAAATATTCTCTGAACTTGTTTGTATATAATTTACGCTTATGTCTCATCGAGCTGCTCTGATTATTCACATGTGTTTATTGTAGTTGAAAAGACTAAGAAGTAACTTTTTTGTCTTTTTAATCAGGATGCACTGGCATTACCACCCAGTTTGGCTGCGTTCAGCCCCAGTGAGAGGGGAACAGTGGTTTATACTGGCTACGCTGTGGAAAAAGAGATCATCTTTTACTGCCTTTACAAAAAACAGGTACTGAAGCACTCGCTCTCGGCCTTTATACCCATGACTGTGTATCTCATTCTTTCTCTCAACACACTTTTATTGGCCAAGTAATGTCATTGGTTCTGTGTGTATTTTTGTTTTATAGGTTTTGAGGACGATCTCTCTGGCCGATTGGGCGCTCTGTCTCGGTCTCTGCTCAACTGGAAGACTGATCGCTGTTGGATCAAACCGTTAGTGTGCTGTTTTACTTGAAAGCATAAGAAGGAAAGTGTTTGAGTTATGTAGTCATATATAACTCAATGCTTTGTGTTTCAGAGCGCGTCCTGAAGCTGATTCATTCGTCCAGCGGGCGTTTTCAGGATTTCACGTCTCACAGTGACTCGGTTCAGGTGTGCAGCTTCAGCTGGTCTGGATCTCAGCTCTTCACCGCTGCTCATAATGAGCTCTTACTGTGGACTGTACACGGATTATAATGCTGACACAACACTAACGCTAGAGTTTGAGAGTTTGACTCCTCTCACTTTGGATTGCACTAGTTACTCTAGAGTCAGAGTTAGTTTTTCTGTTTAGTAGAAATGTTGCATTGATGTCGCAGAGCAGTTTTGCCACGTTTTACATCCAGTTAGCATGACTTGAAGTTTAAATAGTTTTTTTAATCTTTAAATTAGTTTTTAATGTTTTCGATACACTTGGGAAAAGTTGGTTGTCGGTCTTTATACTTTTACACGGTTTAAAATGATTTTGCTAGTAAGAAAGACCCTGGTATTGTTATGCACACTTTGAGCCTCAGAAATAAAATTCATAAAAACTGAAGTACTCACGTTGCATTAATAATAAAGCCATTACTATCTATCTATCGACATTTTATTTTTGAACATTTTACCAAGTAATGTCATTGGTTCTGTGTGTATTTTTGTTTTATAGGTTTTGAGGACGATCTCTCTGGCCGATTGGGCGCTCTGTCTCGGTCTCTGCTCAACTGGAAGACTGATCGCTGTTGGATCAAACCGTTAGTGTGCTGTTTTACTTGAAAGCATAAGAAGGAAAGTGTTTGAGTTATGTAGTCATATATAACTCAATCCTTTGTGTTTCAGAGCGCGTCCTGAAGCTGATTCATTCGTCCAGCGGGCGTTTTCAGGATTTCACGTCTCACAGTGACTCGGTTCAGGTGTGCAGCTTCAGCTGGTCTGGATCTCAGCTCTTCACTGCTGCTCATAATGAGCTCTTACTGTGGACTGTACACGGATTATAATGCTGACACAACACTAACGCTAGAGTTTGAGAGTTTGACTCCTCTCACTTTGGATTGCACTAGTTACTCTAGAGTCAGAGTTAGTTTTTCTGTTTAGTAGAAATGTTGCATTGATGTCGCAGAGCAGTTTTGCCACGTTTTACATCCAGTTAGCATGACTTGAAGTTTAAATAATAGGAGTTTTTTTAATCTTTAAATTAGTTTTTAATGTTTTCGATACACTTGGGAAAAGTTGGTTGTCGGTCTTTATACTTTTACACGGTTTAAAATGATTTTGCTAGTAAGAAAGACCCTGGTATTGTTATGCACACTTTGAGCCTCAGAAATAAAATTCATAAAAACTGAAGTACTCACGTTGCATTAATAATAAAGCCATTACTATCTATCTATCGACATTTTATTTTTGAACATTTTACTATATGAATTGTTGTATTTTAATGCTTTTAATGGAATTTCAATGTATTTTCCACAAATTACAAAAAAATATGGGCCAAGGTAATCATTATTTAATCCCCCTTTTTTGTAAGAGACAAAAAAACTTTATTAGCATAACTGTTTATTATTTATTTTTATAAATATATTTTATTTTAATATTTACTGTTTAATGTGTAATGTACTTATAATGGAAAAGTAGACGATAAATATATCAAAACAAGAAAAGAAAAGGAAAAGATCAAGCAACTTAAAAAGCGAAGGAAGTGAACGGTAGAGGGCGCTCCATTTGGGCTCCAACCGGAAGTCTGTAGGGGTGACAGTTTCTTTGGATGGAATGGGGCTAGCCAGAAACTAGTAGCACTGGGCTTTGAATTGAATTTGAAGTTTTCCGAAAAGATAGCCGCAGCGTGTCAGAGAGTTCAATAGAGAGCGGAGTGAAATGAAACGCGATGTCCGGATACTGCTGTTGGGGGAACGTAAGATAGTATTTCTTTTAAATATCAAGGGAACTAAATGTGAGAGTTTAATGAACGCTAGCATGATTAGAGAGCGCTAACCCTCAACCTTGAGCTGCTGCAGAAATGATCTGAAGTAAAGAGCACTCTTCAATTATCGATTCATTTACTGCTTTCTTCTTTGTATGTTAAATCAGAACACACGAAAATGCACTATTATATAGTGAGCAAGTTGTTCACAGAGATAATGACAGTTCAGTCAAACTTTAGAAGTTTAATTAGACATTAAATATCGGTTAATTAAACACCTGCTTTATTTAGGAGATATTTGCATGTGATACATATTCAGATATATGCATATTAAAACTCATTACACACTTTCATGTGCATTGTATTGAGTAGACAGTAGTATATTTATTGGCTTTGATTTGTTTTGTCACTTTATTATTTGTTTTGCATGCAGGTTTTAAGGAGAGTAATTTTGCTTAGATTTATTTATTGTATTTATTTGTATTTGTGTGTATATATATATATATATATATATATTTGTGTGTGTTTGTATATGAATGGCAAAATCTGTTCATTGATTGTTCGGCCAGTGATTGATAATGAAGCTGTTGGCATGGTAACTATCAAGGTGTGGAGTTTGTGCCTAGTTAAACATCAGATGAACCTGTGACACAATGCACATATTCATAGAGAAACTTCAACCGCTCTGATAATAATACTGTGGATGTAAATATATCCTTCAGAAACTGATGCTGATTTGCTGCTCAGGAAACATTTATTAATATTATCAATGTTGAAGCAGCTGTGCTGCTACATATTTTTGTGGAAACCATGATACATCATAATTTATTCTGTAGAAATCTTTTGTAACATTATAAATGTCTTTAATGGCCTTCCAATTTAACACAGCCTTACTGAATACAAGTTTTTAAAAATTATTATTATTATTTAATTTATTTTTATTTTAAAGGATCATGTGGCACTTAAGACTGGAGTGATGATGCTGAAAATTCAGCTTTACATCACAGGAATAAATTACATTTTAAAGTACGTTAAAATAGTTATGTGAACTAGCAAAATAACTATTTTTAATCAAATAAATGCAGCCTTGGTGAGCATAACTGATGTCTTGAATTAGATAGTATGTGTCATTTTTTTAGGCAGCGCACACGTTTTGTTTCGGCATTATTGTTAAATTTATTCCATGCCTGCTGCGCTCAAGTCATGTCCTTACTATGTTATTAGTTTTATCTCTTAACTGACCTTTTAAGCTCAAGGTGAACACCAGCAGGAGTGACCGGTGTGCTTTCTCAACTTGCTTATTAATAAGAGCAACATTTATGAAAGTTACAGAAGTGCAGTACAGTTTTAGCCCGACACATCACATATGAGATTTAGCACTGATGAAGGATTGGAAACACTCTAATAAAACCAGAAATCAAACTGATTTGCAATGGAAGTCACAACAGAGGCGTTTGTGTGATCGTGGCTAGAGTCATATAAACTGTGGGAACGTGATTATTGAGATGAAATATTTTTCTATGCTTTGTTTCCCTGTAGCCAAAGTGGGAAAGACCTCTCTCATCATGTCTCTGGTTGGAGAGGAGTTTCCTCAGCAGGTGAGTTTACCCATGAGCCTCTCTGGTGTGTGTTTGTCTGATGCAGTAAGAGGAAGCTCATGCGTTTGTGCCGTCAGGTTCCTCTCCGGGCGGAGGAGATCACCATACCAGCCGACGTCACGCCTGAGAAAGTGCCCACACATATAGTCGACTATTCAGGGGTGTGTGTGTGTGTGTGTGTGTGTGTGTGTGTGTGTCGAATGACAATATTTGCCCTAGTGTTTTATTAATACTTATTATCTCTACAGAAAGTGAACAGTCTGATGAAGTGTTGAGGGAGGAAATCGTAAAGGTGAGAAGCCTCCTGATCTTGTGTGTATAACAAGCCATAAATCACATCTCTTTCATGATATTCATAGTTTTTGTCCTAACCAGCTGCAACCACGGCTGCATTAATTTATTAATTTGACAATAAAAACTGTGATATAGTGAAATATTATTTAAATGTAAAACAACTGTATTCTATATTGTAAAATGTAAAAATGTAATGTGATCAAAGCTGAATTTTCAGCATCATTACTCCAGTCTTCAGTGTCACATGATCTTCAGAAATCATTCTAATATGCTGATTTATTATCAGTGCTGGAAACTGCTGTGCTGCTTCATATTTTTTTCAGGATTCTTTGACGAATAGAAAGTAAAAAAAACAGCATTTATTTGAAATAGAAATCTCTTGTAACATTATAAATGTTGTTACTGTCACTTTTGATCAGTTTAATGCATCACTGTTGAGTCAAATGTTTTTATTCTTATTTAACACCAAATTTTTAATGGTTGTGTGTGACCGTTTCCACAAGAATATTATGAAACAAAAACATTTATAGTAATTTTCAACATTTATAGTAGGGATGCACGATATATCGGCCACCATATCGGTATCGGCCGATAAATGCTCATTTTTTTTGTTATCGGTATCGGCCCAATAAGAAAATTTGGCCGATATCTTAAAGCCGATAAATAATGCATTATTTCCTTCAGAGACACTTCAGATGCGCGCTGTTTGTTTGCAGCCTTTTGTGCAATTGTACGTTGTAATATTGTGTTTATTTGATGTAAATGACAATATTTGCCCTAGTGTTTTATTAATACTTATTATCTCTACAGAAAGTGAACAGTCTGATGAAGTGTTGAGGGAGGAAATCGTAAAGGTGAGAAGCCTCCTGATCTTGTGTGTATAACAAGCCATAAATCACATCTCTTTCATGATATTCATAGTTTTTGTCCTAACCAGCTGCAACCACGGCTGCATTAATTTGACAAAAATACAATAAAAACTGTGATATAGTGAAATATTATTTAAATGTAAAACAACTGTATTCTATATTGTAAAATGTAATTTATTTCTGTGATCAAAGCTGAATTTTCAGCATCATTACTCCAGTCTTCAGTGTCACATGATCTTCAGAAATCATTCTAATATGCTGATTTATTATCAGTGCTGGAAACTGCTGTGCTGCTTCATATTTTTTTCAGGATTCTTTGACGAATAGAAAGTAAAAAAAACAGCATTTATTTGAAATAGAAATCTCTTGTAACATTATAAATG